TATAAAAAAGGACTCATTTGCTGATTTTTTTTTTAAAGGTCCCAATCATATTCAAAACAGTTTCGAATAAGAAGGATAAGCTTTCCTATTCTTCCATATACCCTGAAATCTGGATTTCATCTTTGGGACGCTCGCTTCTATATATGAGAATCTTATCCCATTTCAATTGTTTTCATCCACAAAATAAATTACATTTTAATCCAAGCAAATGGCAACGCTTCAAAGTTGTTTGGACATAATAGTCTTTAAAGGAGACATTTAAACATTCTGAAAAATAAGTAGACATGCCAGCATGAGAAAGAACATTTCAAAGTAATGTCCTGTGACATTTAAACGATGCAATTTGACTGGGAGTTTGCAGACTCCTTATGCCACTATAAGAAAAGTGGATAATAGAATAGAAAGATGATTTGTAAACTTAGTATAATATGCAAAAGGGTGAACTTGCCTGCCACAGTTTGAGGATCTTTTTGGTGAATTGAGATGACAACATTCACAATCTACAGGTACCATCAATGAAGTCTATGCTGGACATGTATTTTGGGAATTGTCCCAACTTAGCTAGAGAGCATCAGGTTGATTAAGGATGGACTAACTCTTCTGGTTTCCCTTAACTTCAGACAATGATGGGAATCTTGGTTTGGCAGATGCATATCTTGGCATATTGTTTAAAATTGCATTTTTCCAAGGGTCTTGAGGGGAAAAAAACACACACACACAAAGTTTTGATACTGAGCCAGTTGAAAACCTGTGAAAACATTCAGCGTAGACTTTGGATGGAGAAAGAAAGGATGATTTTTTACTATCATCGTTGTTAAATGCCGCTTGCCAGCAAGGATGAATGTACAAATAAAATGTGTCTTCTGTTTTTAAATTCTGCAAAGATGAAGTGTTTAATTATTTCTGTTTTCCCATGCTGGAATAGATTATTTCCTTTCGGATACATTTCAAGAGGTGGTAAGCTCTGTATAGCTCCTTAGCTTAACTGGATCACTTTGTCCCTGGCTGGTATCCTACGGTATCTAACTAGCTCCTGTTTCTTATATTTTTTCATTGTTTTTTTAAATATGCACCAGTCTGCTGAGTCTTTGCCCACTTTTCGCATTCCACCGCTTCCGCTTCCAAACAGTTGAGATGGACTTTAGGGTTTTCTGGCTCTCAGCTAATGCAAAAACTAACCAGTGAGGGAGCTTGATCTTCGTCTAAATGAGGGGACAGGTCAAGCATGGAATTGAACTATCAGAAAAGAAAGAGAAGGAAAAGGGGCTAGCTAGAGTGAGTTCCTCAACCGTGGTCACTTTAAGCTGTATGAACTTCAACTCCCAGAATTCCCCAGCCAGCCGAGCTGGCTGAGGAATTCTAGGAGTTGAAGTCCATACCGCTTAAAATGGCCATGACTGAGGAACACTAAAAAAAGCCAACTAAAAAAAAGCTTTGCTGTCTAAAGCTTTGTTTAGACTTTAAACTTTCCCAATCTTGAACTGAAGCCAGTTTCCTAACCATGCCCTGTTAACACCTATTGTGCAATTCTCTGGAGCTTGAATGCTTTGTATAGTGTGCTTCTCCGAGCTGTGTCCGTCTGTGTCCTATTTTTAATGCGCTTCCGTGCTTGCTGAATTTATTATTCTTAGCTTTGTGGAACTTTTGTTACACCCCAGTGCACGTGAAGACTGGCTGGGGAAAGATGTAAGATAACCATTGGGCTAAAGATGTTCTTTTACCTGCGCGAGAAACTTAACGGGCTAGCTAATCTTCTGTGAATTCCTTTTAAGCCAGGGGTCTTCAAACTTGGGCCCTTTGATGACTTGTGGAGTTCAACTCCCAGAATTCCTCAGCCAGCCAATTCTGGGAGTTGAAGTCCACAAGTCATCAAAGGGCCAAGTTTGAAGACCCCCCCCTGTTCTAAGCAGTCAGAGGAACATGTTCAAAAAGTCAAAAGTAGCAGGAAATAGTGTCCTCACTTAGTGGGAAGGACCCCCACCTGCATAAGGGCCTTGACGCTTCCCCCAAAATAAATGGGCATATATGAAATCATTGGGTTACTCTGTGAACAAACAAACCTGCCCCCCCCCCACTTGCTTAACCAATGCTAAGTATCAACTGTGTTAAGTTAGCCAGGAATCAAATATTGTGTACTTAAAGCCATTGCAAAGGTTGGACACTTTTGACTTTTCATATACAAGTGGTCCTCAACTTAGGGCCACAAATGAACCCGAAATTTCTGTTGCTGAGTTAAGCAAATTTTGCCCCCAGTTGTTAAGTGAATCGCTTCAGTTGTTCAGTTAGTAACACGGTTGTTAAGTGAATCTGGCTTCCCCATCGATTTTGCTGGTCAGAAGGTTGCAAAAGGGGGTCACATGACACCCCCCGGACACTGCAACCGTCATAAATATGAGTCAGTCAGCCAAGTGTCCAGATTTTGAGCACGTGACCATGGAAATGCTGCAAGGGTTGTAAGATTGGAAAATACCCATAAAATATCACGTAACTTTGAATGGTCACTAAATGAACGTTGTAAGTCCAGGACTTCCTGCATTCCCGGGAGGCCATATTCAGAGACTCCTCATGATAGTAACACAGTTTGTCCAATGAACCATGGTTTAAAAAAAATGTTTCAGTTTCCAGGATTCATCAGTTTTTACACAGTTGACTTGCAAAGTGACATTGCAAGTCATGTGGTCTGACATTGTTAGGAGCGCTGCTGTGATACTTTTAACACCCCTGCTTTACCTGGAAGAAAAATTTCTCTTGGACAACTGTGCGCTGAGGCGTCCTCTGCTTTTGCAGAGTGTTCACAGACACAAATCCAACTTTGTGTGGCTCCTGTAAGGCTAATCACAATGCAGCCAGTGTCAAACTTGTTGATTTGTCCTTAAAAGTCACTTACTTCAGCGTTATCAAATCACCTGAGGCAAGGTTTCCCAACCTTGGTGCCTTTAAGATGTGTGGACTTAAGACATGTGGCTGGCTGGGGAATTCTGGGAGTTGAAGTCCACATGTCTGAAATGGTATAGGGTTTTCTGCCTGAGCAGGGGGTTAGACTAGAAGACCTCCAAGGTCCCTTCCAAATCTGCTATTCTGTTCTGTTCTATTCTATTCTATTCTATTCCTTTATTCTGTTCCTTTTCTCTATTCTATTCTATTCCATTCCTATTTCTTACTCTATTCTATTCTTATTTCTTATTCTATTCCTATTTCTTATTCTATTCTATTCTATTCTATTCTATTCTATTCTATTCTATTCTATTCTATTCTATTCTATTCTATTCTATTCTATTCTTAAAGGCACCAAGGTTGGGAAACCCTGATATAAGGGATCCATTCATTTGTAAATCTTTCCCCAGTGTGTTTGTAACTGAAACATAGGCTGGTGGTAAAGAAAGGTGAAGAAGAACATTCCATCAATATAAGAAGCAGTGGACTGGGTGAGTTTACTGACAAAAGACACCCTCTGTCGCCATATTAGAAAGAAACTTTACGTCATGATTATCATAATATTACCATTACTTGATTAGAAGTCTACCATGTTCTCCTAGAGAAGAAGTAGGCAAGTGGGTGCCCTAGGCCAGGGGTCCCCAACCCCTGCGTCGTGGCCACTACCCATTCATAACAGCCATGCGAATGGTGGCCGCTTGTGCTCATGCGCAAAGCTTCACTCGTGCGAACGCAAGGCAACGCTTGCACAAATAGAGCTGTTCACACTCATGTGCTCCCCTGACACTCATGCGGTACCATTCCCTCTCCCCCCACACACACGCCAGGACCCCAAGCCGGAAAGGTTGCCCTAGATATTTAGGATGTAGCTCCTTTTTATTCCAGATAACTTGAATTATGGGAAAGAACTTTGAAGTCCAAAATATCTGGCAGACACCAGGTTACCTGACCTTGGTGTAATTGCTACAATTCCCATTCAGTTCTCTTTGCCAATTTTACCCCATTTCCTCAGTATTTTTTTTTCCCCTTGGCCCATCAGTTTAGACCAGGGGTCTTCAACCTTGGCAACTTTAAGACTTTTGGACTTCAACTCCCAGAATTCCTCAGCCAGCCCTGGACTTCCTCAGACAGAATTCCTCAGACAATCCTGGCTGGCTGAGGAATTCTGGGAGTTGAAGTCCACAAGTCTTAAAGTTGCCAACTTTGAAGGCCCCTGGTTTGGACACAGTGCAAATAAAATTGGTTAGAAAAGTTAAGTGTCTTTTCTCCCTATTATCTTATTCCTTCTCCGAGCCCAATTAAACAATTTGCTAGCCATTCCCTTTCCATGCAAATCATTCTTTTAGAATAATTAATTGCACCAGCCCAAGGGTCAATGTCCCACAGCAGTGTTTCTGCCGAATTGGCTGGAGAATTCTGGCAGTTGAAGTCCACATGCCTTAAAACAGTGGTTCTCAACCTTTTTCATGCCGTGACCCCAACCGGTCATAAGTCGAGGACTACTCAACTGGTGCAGCACCGTTTGCAGAATGGGACTTTTGGCGGGCTCAGCAGGACAGAGACAGCCTGGACAATTCCTATTGGCTTTTGAAAGCCAATAGAATAGACTCTCTTGAATAGAGTCTATTCTATTGGCTTTCAAAAGCCAATAGAATAAAAGGGAGTAGCACAGCTAAGGAAAAGGGGGGGGGGAAATGGTGGACTACGTTGTTTGGTGACCCCTGTGAAATGGTCGTTCGACCCCAAATGGGGTCCCGACCCACAGGTTGAGAACCACTGCCTTAAAATGTTTCCATAGTTGAGAAAGGAAGTTTGATGGAGGTGAACAGGATGCAAATTTCTACATAACACTGGATTGGCAGTCCTCATTTCATACCCAGTAAATGGTAGAAAAATAGAAAATGGAGCCTGTAATTTCTTCTTTTTAACCCTTTGAGGATGAGGGAACTAAATAACAAGGACACTAGGATTTTGACCTGCTTTATGGCGCTCTCTGGGCTACTTGTAGTTTGTTGACTGCTGCACTCGCATTTCTGTTCTGCATCTATCTATGCCTTTCTTCACAGTAACCCTTGGCTGTGCACAGAGTAATGTCTCTCCTCACCACTTTTGGGATGTGCAAAAATCTGCATGTAAGTACACCTGGAGAAGAAAAATGCGTCCGTTTTTGGAGGGAGCTTACAGGCATATCTGTAAGGAGTATGGTTCGATATAAGTCTCTGCTTCTTTTGGCCAGAATAAACAAGCCTTTCTAAGTGGAACGTAAACATGCTGACTCCACTCCAGGAGCTGATGAGATTTCAGCCCCTTTGAGACCAATGGCACAGCTCAAGCACAGAAAAGTCCCATAGATTTCAGTGGGAGGTAAAACATAACAAATCACATTCATACAGTAGCAAATAGATCTGGTCTACTTCATTCCCCATTACCTGGGCTTACCCTGGTAGGTTCCCCGCACCGTAAACATTCTAACTTTGAAATAAATCCAATGAATTTCGGTTATTGCCTGGATTTAAGCTAATTCAAAGAGAAATTCCATCTAGAGCCCTTGCAACTTCATTCTTTTGTGGTTTAACCTAAAGCAGACATGTCAAACACAAGGCCCGGGGGCCGAATGCGGCCCGCAACGTGGTTTCAGGTGGCCTGCGAAGCCATCCTGGAAACAGAGAGGGAACGGCCCCCACTACCTTGGCCCTGGCCCAGGCCGGCCGGGAACCAATGTACAATTTTGTGGTGGCCATCTTGGCACTTGCCCCGGTGGACCATGCCTTGGCACTTGCCCCGGTCCCACCCCCTTCTGCCAGAGACCCTCAGATCTGTCCCATTCCTGCCCAGGCCCCCCACAGGCACCCTTGACGAGAATGATGTAGAACTGGCCACGCCCACCCAGTAGGCCACACCCACTCCATCCACGCCCACCCGCCTCCCCTGGTAGGTTCCCCGCATCGTAAACATTCTAACTTTGAAATAAGTCCAGTGAATTTCAGTTATTGCCTGGATTTAAGCTAATTCAAAGAGAAATTCCATCTAGAGCCCTTGCAACTTCATTCTTTCGTGGTTTAACCTAAAAGTACTTTGCATATAGTGGGAATCCCCTTAAAGGACAGGTGTTTAGGATTGGCCTGTTAATTCAGTTTCCAGAAAGGTTTCAGGACACAACTCTTGAAACACAATGCGACCTATTTTAATATTAAATTATTGAATACTCACAGAATTGTGTGTGTGTGTGTGTGTGTGTGCATGTGTGCGTATGTGTAGATAAAAGGAAGACAAGATTCAGACATTCACCCAACTATTTTGAAGGTTAATCTCACATTAGTATTTCGAGTGCCAGATAAAGAATTCAACTGGGATATTTCATGTTTGTTTTGTATTGAAACTAATCTTAAAAAAATAATATCAGACTGGGGTTTTTTTTTCACGCATAGCAGTAGGAGATACTTCATTATCACTTGATGGTTTATTGCATAAACTTCCGTTGTGTTTGCACAATGCACTAAACCCAAATCAAACAAATCTTCATGATTGGCTTCCTGTGTTATGCTGGGTGAATCCAGCCAAACGCTGAGAAAAAACATAAAAGTCAAAACAATGGTATCTAGCCTCTAAAATCTGGTGCTTAAAGTGAATACTTCATAACAAGACCAATCTTGATTTGCAACTCTGAGAGGCGTGACTGATAACTTGAGAAATTGGAAAAAATTAAGCCCTAGAATCTGTTCTTCAGTATCTCAATTGCTTCTTTCTTTTAGGTGCCTTTAGATCACCTCTAGCAAGAGAGTTGCTTGCCTGTTGTATGTGACCATACTATGGGAGGGACTACAGGCAGTCCTCGACTTACGAAGACAATTGAGCCCAAAATTTCTGTTGCTAAGTGAGACCTGTCAAGAGAGTTTTGCCCCATTTTACAACTTTTCTTGCTACAGTTATTAAATAAATCACTCCCGTTGTTAAGCTAGTGACACAGTTGTTAAGTGAATCTGGCTTCCCCATTGACTTGGCTTTTCAGAAGGTCGCAGAAGGGGAATCACGTGACCCCGGGGCACTGCAACCGTCATAAATATGAGTCAGTTGCCAAGCAGCTGAATTTCGATCACGTGACCATGGGGATGCTGCAACGGTTGTGAAGTGTGAAAAACTATCGTTAAGTCCCTTTTTTCAGTGCTATTGTAGCTTTTGAACGGTCAGTAAATCAACTGTTGTAAGTCGAGGACTACCTATATATGCCAGAAATGCAAGTTAATGAAGGATGGAAGCCTGTCATGGCATGTTGAAATACATGGTCAAACACTGAGACTGCACAGCTGGATCATCTAAAACCGAGGTGGGGGAACAATGGCCTTTTTATGACTTGTGGACTTCAACTCCCAGAATTCCTGAGCCAGCCAATTCTGAGAATTGAAGTCCACAAGTCATAAAGGGGTCATCGTTCCCCACCCATCATCTAAAACTACCTTTCTATTTCCTTCACGTAGAACATAGTCTTTGCTTACCAAGTCCTCTGTCAAATTTCTCCTATCCTCCTAAAAGCCTTCAAAATGCTATGTACGTTTCAGCCCCATGGATTCTAAACTATGGGACAAGGGATCTCCAGATATGGGTGTCTCCATAAAGGACAATTACCAAGAGAAAAAACAACAACGAGTAATTGGGTCTGTAGGAGATAACAATGTCTTCAAAATATTGAAGTTGAATAGTACAAGACTGGACTTACTTAGGATACGATCTTTGCAGTCAACAACTGAACAAGAACTAATAATTGTGGGTTACTAGGCATTGCCACTTTAGTGGGATCCTGTCAAATGGATCTTGATTAATGAATTCATAAGGAAATAAACAAATTGGACGTAAAGCCTGTAGGCACAATTTCAAGAGACGATGGAACAGCCACGTGGAATTCCTCAACTTCAAGGGCTAATTGTTTGAATGAAATTGGTACGTCACATTCAAAAATAGGATTCCTCAATGTAGGCACCGTCCAGATACATGATCTTCAAATTCCCAGAATTCTTTGAGGTGGACAGGCACGAACAGGGATTTCTGGGATTTGAAGTAGCTTCAACATCGATCAGATGGCTTCAGTAGGACTGAAAAATCTTACATCAAGACCTTTTTCTCAATCGGCTAGAGATCTCCTAGTGAATGCTATGTTTTGCAAACTCTGATGTACTTGTTGTGAGCTTTTGTTATTCCTGGCTATGTGAATTGTATGTTTCTTCGGAGTCATATTGTTTTTACTAGAACTTTGCATTAAAAATGGAATCGAAATCACAGCTACATTTACAGTCTGTCTATAACTGTGTAGCTGGAGGCTGGCAGTGTATTTTTGAAACTTATATGAAGGTTTATGTTTTACTTCTCCCTCTCCAGCTTATTGAAAAATAAAACTGTGAACAACAGTAGGAATATATTGTTTGTATACTTCTATTTTTATTGAGTGTTGTTTTTTTTAAAGTTTTCATAACAGCCTCAAAACTTTTTAGGTCTAGTGTGTTTATTAACTTCCTATTTTGAAAATATCCAGAGTGAATTTGTAACCAATTTACTGTGATTAATAGCACTATATACTGTATGTTATGTATCTGTCCATTAGACTTTTGTTACCAATGTCAAAAAAATGTCTTCATTTTTTTGGGGGGGGGGGGGGGAAATACACTAATGCTGGGAACGTTCTGCATTTGAAGCAGATGGGGCTTTTTGTATATATTCTTGAATGTCCACTTCCCAAGAGCCCGAATACGTAAAGTGGGAAGCAGAAAATACATTTAAAGGGGGGGGGGAAGCCAACCAAGTAATTAGCATTGTTTTGTGTGTGCCTTCTTTTCTAAACAAAGGATGTTTTGATTTTTGATTTATTATTCAGTATTTGTATGGGGTGGGAATGGGGTGGGAACCTGACAACAAAATAATTTATACCTGATGGATTTTACATTTATTTTTCCCATATTTCTTTGAAAACACACACCCATTTTTGTTTCGCTCTCTGCTTTTTTTGATAGTTTGCAGATTTCACAATATCATCTTGTGCTCCTTTGTTCAATTAAGAACATTTCTGGCATGGTTCAAACCTTCTGCTTCATGTTTTTCATGCACTGGGCTTGTATATTCAGGGTAGAATTTGGCATTTCTCAATCTGATGCAACTCCGGGGACAGATATTGGGCATATTGTACCCAGAGGAGCCCATGATCTAGTTTGGAGCGTACACATTTCCTCGCCTCAATAGCCAAGACATTTAGGACAGCATGAAAGAGCTGTTGAAATACTGGCAGCCCAATGTGTCACCTGATTGTAGGAATGACCATTTATTTCCCTTGTCCTGTGTTGATAACCATATCAAATACAGAACAGAAATAAAATATCTTGGAGGAAAATAACAGCTTTCTGGCTTTAGTTTCTTTGGGGGATGAAAGTTTCATTAGCAGTAGACCATTTGGTCTAGTGCAGTGGTTCTCAACCTTTTTAATGCCGCGACCCCCCAACCAGTCATAAGTCGAGGACTAAGCAACCACTCATAAGTCGAGGACTAAACCGGTCGTAAGTCGAGGACTATCCAACCGGTCATAAGTCGAGGACTTTCCCTGTCCGGGAGCGCTGCGCATGCGTGGTGCCACCCCCTGTGCCGGCCAAGGCGTAGCTGGCAAGCGGCAGAGACGGCGCAGGGCGACCACCAGCTGGGCCACCAGCTGGCCCAGCCCAAGGGAGGTAAGGCACCTGCTGGGCCCCACGTGCGCCAGCAACCCTCCCTGCGCCCGCCGGCCTCCCACCTCCCACCCCTGGCCCTCTTTTACTTACATTTTTAGTAGTAGCTCAGCAGGGAGGGGTGGAAACTTCCAGACAGCTTGCCTTCACTGCAGACAACTTGAAGCACCGTTTGCAGAATGGGACTTTTGGTGGACTCAGCAGGGCAGAGACAGCCTGGACAATTCCTATTGGCTTTTGAAAGCCAATAGAATTAGACTCTATTCAAAAGAGTCTATTCTATTGGTTTTCAAAAGCCAATCGAATAAAAGGGAGTAGCACAGCTAAGGGAAAAAAATGGCCGACTGCATTGTTTGGCGACCCCTGTGAAATGGTCGTTCGACCCCAAATGGGGTCCCGACTCACAGATTGAGAACCGCTGGTCTAGTGGTTAAGGCATCTAGCTAGAAAGCAGGAGGCAGTGAATTCTAGTCCTGTCTTAGGCATGAAAGCCAGCTGGATGACTTTGGGCCGATCACCAGGAGATGGTGAGTTCTAGATCCGCTTTAGGCATGAAAGCCAGCTGGGTGACTTTGGGCCAGTCACTCTCTCAACCCAACTCAGCTCCCAAGCTAGCTATTCTGGAAAAACCGGAGGAAGGTTTGTTGGATATCTTGTCACCTTGAGTTATTTCTAAAAATAATAAAAGTGGGTTGCAAATCAATAAAGTATGGAGATCCCAGTAGCCCTGACTATATCATCCCATTACTCGTTTCTACATTCACACTCTGGGGAACGAAATTTTGAGTAGCTTGTTCGTTATTTTTCTGTTGTGTTGCTTTCCCTCTCTTTGGATTCTGAAACTTTTTCCCTTTCTTCTCTTTTCTGTAGCTTCTTCTTTATGTAGCTGTCAGTCACCTTGCCAAGTTCCACTTCCCTTCTCCTAATGGACTATAGCGCATTAGAAGAACCAGCAGGGTCTCCCACACACACCCCAGTTGGGAGACGAGTTACCTCATTACTTCCACCACCTCCGCCTTGTCTGTCTTTGAGAATTAACTGGCTGGGCTCTTTGCGTTCACATCTTTGACAAGTCCACACTCGGCACTGAGGTCTTTTTGCACTGTACGGATTGATAGGCATATGCGGGCAGAGAGAACTTGGGGCGCCATCGTAACTGTTGCACTGAGGAACTTTTTAGGGTCTCCTTTGGGGTGATGCAAGGAGAAAGGACTCCTGGAGTGGACCTGTGGACGTGGACGTGTATGCCTGTGTGTGCGTGTGTGTTTATGCATGTCGGAGGGTTGGGTGCATTTATATGCGAACTCCAGATACTGCTGAAGTATCATGCTGAAGTGTTAAACCAAATCTAATTCGTTCTGAGAGGTATAAAATCCTAGTCACTTTGAAAGCCATATGAATTCACACAAGTTCCACAGGCTTGTCTTCACAACGCTCCTTGACACAAGCCTTCGGAGACTCAGAGATCAAACTTAAGGGTGGAGCCGCCATTTTGGATTACTCCCTATTTTTAATCCAGTTTAAATCATTGGACTTCTTTTCTTTTCAACTTGACCCAGTAGCTTTGGGAAGTTCCTATGAATATTGCTAGTTCTTTTGCTGTCTGGTGGACACATCAAGTACAGGTAGTCCTCAAAGTTACGACCACAGTGGACTCCCAAATTTCCATTGCTAAGCGAGCCAGTTGTTAAAGTGAGTTTCACTCATTTTACGACTTTTTATCACAGTCATTAAGCAAATCCCTGCGATTCTTAAGGTTCTTAAGTTCTTCAGTCGGTCATTAAGCAAATCCCGTTGACTTTGCTTGTCAGAAACCAGCTGAGGAGGTTAGAAATGGGGATCATGTGACCCCAGAACAGTGCACTGTCATAAATAACATGCCAATTTACCAAGTCTCCAAATTTTGATCACATAACCACAGGGATGCTACAAGGTTCATATGAAAATTGGTCATAAATAACTTTTTTTCAGTGCTGTTGTAACTTCGAAAAGTCACTAAGGGGATGGTTATAACTTGAGGACTACCTGTACAGAAAGTCCCTGACTTACGACCACAATTGTGCCTAAAATTTCTGTTGCTAAGTGAGACATTTGTTAAGTGAGTTTTGCTTGTGTATCAACTGTGTTAAGTTACCCAGGAATCAAATATTGTGTACTGAAAGAAGCAGTTGTAAAGGTTGGCCCTTTTCACTTTTCCTATGCAGGTGGTCCTTGACTTATGACCACAGTTGGGCCCAAAACTTCTTTTGCTAAGAGAGACAGTTCCAGTCAATTGTGCCCCGTTTTATGACTTTTCTTGCCACAATTGTTAACTAAATCACTGCTGTTGTTCAGTGGGCAACAGGGCTGTAAAGTGATTCCGGTGTCCCCATTGATTTTGCTTGTCAGAAGGTGGCCAAGGGGGATCATATGACCCCGGGATATGGCAACCGTCATAAATATGAGTCAGTTGCCAAGTGTCTGTATTTTGATCGACTGGGGATGCTGCAATGGCTATAACTGTGAAAAAACGGTGATAAGTCACTTTTTCAGTGCCGTTGTAATTTTGAACGGTCACTAAATGAACTGTTGTAAGTCGAGGACTGCCTGTATCGCATATTAGGAAACCATTGTTTATCTTTGGTACTGGAGAAATTGATGATGATTCTGGCTTTCACATCACCCAGAGATTTGTTCTGTTCCACTTTAAAAGTTCTTCCCTGTCGACTTAAAACGCAGTAAACATGTCCTGAAAATGATTTCAGAATTGTGTGTGGAACAGAGAATATTCTCTAATGAGTTTGACCTGATTAATGATTGTTTTCCTCGAGTTGCTGGCATTTAATGTGTACAGACGGGACACCGCTCACCCTGCCTCTGTTTTCTGGATCAACAAGCAAGGAATTTGGTAGCTGAAACACTCCACGATCTTCGTCCTTAAGGCCTGAAGTGCCCTAGAAGCCAACAGTCCACTCTTTTCATTGTGATTGATATTTTGCAAGACAAACTCTTACCGAAGCAGTTCCGATGAAATCAAAGATTAAAACCTAGTTGCAACAAAATGTGATGAAAAATCAAAACAATGAAATAAAACCCAAAGATGCTGTGTCAAAGTTAAGCACCCCTGTCAAGGTTGGGTGAATTCCCCAGTTCTGTCTTCAACTACACAAACATTCTGGGTCAGAAGCAACGTATGGGTTGTGGAGTCAGACAACAAGCTGACTTTCTGTGAATGATCAAACCCGAAAACACAGGATAGGAATTCTTGACCAGAACTGTAACTGATGGTCTCCCACTTTTTCAGTCTTAAAACCTGGATTGTAAATGTGTTCACTTTATATCCTGGTGTGTAAATTGCACGAGGTATGTCATCCCTGGCTCAGCTGTACTAGTGGGATCCCCAAAGAGTGAATCTCTGTGGGCAAAGTATGATTCGTTTTCAGAATTGTTCGGGCATTGTTTCTTCCGTTTATTTATTTTACGGGGTGTGCAGGATCCTGCACAAAACCTGGGCTGATTCTGAGCAGCAGAAAAATGTAGTCTTGTAAACCATGGGTAGAAATCAGACTACAAACCATGGAAGATACACTATC